TCTTCCCCAGCCGGAACGACGGATGTCTTATATCCGTCTTATATTCAGCAAGAAAAGCATTTCTTAAAGGCCGGTTAGGAAGCAGGGAGCACTTTTCCAGGACTGCCCTTGCAAAATGCATTGAGTCCATCACTCGTGTTCTTCTCCGTTATCACCTGTATACAGATTTACGTTATGTGCATTTACGTTCTGTTCTAGTTAGGATGAGGGGCTGTTCTGATGCATTTAAGGTTTGTAGACTTTTGAATGATTTCTCCTCTAGTGTCACCAAGAAGGTGGCTAAGTTTCTTTACTCTGCTATAAAGGTACGCCAAGGGATCTCACAGAAATAATCTTATATTTACACTGATGTATATGTATGTTAAAGGTGGCTCAAGGGGTTAAGATGCTGATCTGCAGGCTGTGGAAGGCCGGTAGTTCAGCAGTTCGAGGCCTGAGTGTGCCGCATGACGGAGTGAGCTCCCGTCTCTAGTTCCAGCTCCTGCCAGCCTAGCAGTTCGAAAGCAAGAAATTGCAAGTAGATAAATAGGTAAATAGACTAAGAGCTGAGGACCAACCCAACTGAGCATTCGTCACCCAGACAGGCTGGTATCGGTTTACCGTTATGCCGTTTGGGCTGAGAAATGCCCCGGTGGCGTTTCAGAGACTGAAGAATCATTTGCTACAAAGGGCTCCAGTTGTTTGCTACGGTGTACCTAGATGATCTAGGAGCTGCGGTGGCTCAAGTGGTTAAGGCGCTGAACTGCAGGCTATGGAAGGTCGGTAGTTCAACAGTTTGAGACCCGAGTGCGCTGCATGACGGAGTGAGCTCCCGTCTCTAGTTCCAGCTCCTGCCAGCCTAGCAGTTCGAAAGCAAGAAATTGCAAGTAGATAAATACGTACCACTGCAGTGGGAAGGTAACAGCATTCCGTGCGCCTTGGTGTTTAGTCACGCCGGCCACATGACCACGGAAACGTCTTCAGACAACGCTGGCTCTTCGGCTTTGAAACGGAGATGAGCACCGCAACCCTAGAGTTGGATTCGACTGGCTTTCGAGCAAGGGAACCTTTACCTTTACATGTATGTTGCGGTTTTAACCTGCCTTTTAAACCGTATGAACTTTTATCAATTTTTTTTCCCAATGCCAATAAAGGCTACTTAACTAACTTTCCCAGAAGGCCTTTCTGTTTCCAGTTGAATTTCTAGGAGCAAAAGCAGTTTGGGAATTGGAGGAAGCAGGGCATTCATTTTCCGCCTCCTTTTCTTGCCTCGTGTCGTATCTTGCAGTCTGCTTAGCCCCTGCAGCCCCTTGCAACCCAGATATCTTTCCACCTTCATTCGTCTTAGAATGTCTAATTACTCCCATATACATTACCTGGTCACCGGGATGATCTGCACAAGTCTTGGGTGCCTCCATTGTCTCAGTAGGTAGTCCCTGCCCCCCCAGCCCCCCCCCCTTAAAACCCCTCAGTTCTAGTTGAGCCACAGCTCTGGAACTCGCACCTAAGGAAAGTTTGTTAGACCTGAAAACCCCTCAGTTCTAGTTGAGCCACAGCTCTGGAACTCGCACCTAAGGAAAGTTTGTTAGACTTCCCCTCTGCAAGCGTTCCATCAGCATCTGAAAAGGCACTTTTTTAAAAGTTCAGACTCTCTTCTGGAGTCTGGTGAGCTTGTTTCTCTGTTTGACGGGTGTTGGTTTCTTTCTGCTGACTTTGTGGCTGAATTTTTGTCTGGGTTCCTGCTGTCGACTGTTCTGTATTTGTAGAGTTGTAAGCTGCTCCAGAGATCCTGCATGGGATGAAAGGGAGGGGTGGTGGTGAAAGTATTAGCGAAATAATCCATCGTAATCTGAGATCTGCCTTCAGGAATATTTCCTTTTAGGCCAGAACCTCATCTGATGCTGAATCGAACAGCTGTGGAGAACGTTGACTAAGTCTGTTCTGCTGCAGGAAGGCCAGGCCTCTGTAATTCCCCTGATTCTTGTGCCTTACATTGTTTTTCCAAACCCTATAAGAGGATCTGTCGCCCCCCACTTAGGGAAGCCCTGCATTGGGAATTTCACATCTGTGACTTCTACCTTCCGATAATCTTTTGTACCACTGCAAAAAAAAAATGGTTTACGGACGTATGCTTCATCCCACAAGTTAATGCTGCGGGAACGTATGCTGTGTTACTTTGAGCACTCCAGTAGGCTGTATAATTGGCATATTATGGGGCAGTCACAGAGTGCATCGGATGCGGTGCAGCGGCTTGTGCGTATTTTGTTACGGCATGAAGAAAGGGTACCTCTGCTCGGCAAAACAGTACCATAAAGCTGACGATCGGAACATTCTGCGCTTGTGCCTTTCAGGGACATGGCTTGCAGCGTGGCTGGCATTACTTCGGATGCCAACGTGCTGACCAATGAGCTGAGGCTGATCGCACAAAGGTAGGCGCTTGAAAGCATTTGGCTATTTTAATGACTGTGAGTGAAGGGGAGAGCAACAGAAAGGCAGGCTGAGCGCTGCACTGTTTGTTAAACAAAGCATACGGTATCTGATGAAGGCAGCTTTGACTCTCTCTGGTGTGTATTGAAAAATATCAAGAAACACGCTGGCCTGATTCTCTGATGTGTATTGAAAAATATCAAGAAAACACACTGGTCAGATGCTCTGATGTGTATTGAAAACATCAAGAAACATACTGGCCTGATGCTCTGATGTATATTGAAAAATTTCAAGGAAATACACTGGCCTGATTCTCTGATGTGTATTGAAAACATCAAGAAACATAAGGGAGTGATTTTCTGATGAGTATTGAGAAGTATAAAGAAAACACACTGGCCTGATGCTCTGATGTGTATTCAAAAATATCAAGAAACACACTGGCCTGATTATCTGGTGTGTATTGAAAACATCAAGAAACATGGGAGTGATTTTCTGGTGAGTATTGAAAAATATTAAGAAAACACACTGGCCTGATTCTATGATGTGTATTGGAAACATCAAGAAACACACTGGCCTGATTCTCTGGGGTTTATTAGAAACATCAAGAAACACACTGGCCTGATTCTCTGGGGTGTATTGGAAAAGACCAAGAAACGCACTGGTCTGATTCTCTGATGTGTATTGACAAATATCAAGAAACGCTGGCCTGACACTCTGGTATGTCTTGAAAAATATTGAGACACACACCTTGGCCCTTCCTCCATCCCACAGTCGCCTAAGGTGGAGCCCACTTTGACAAAATAAACATCCTTTAGGAAGCTGCCCAGTGTTGATGAGCGTGTGGTGCCCCAACTAGCCCAAAAGAACACTTTTAGAAAACTCCCCTGCTTTTGCCCTGACCTAGTCGGGCCAGACTAGCTTGAGCTTGATGAGTGCTTGGGTGGGAGTCCACCAAGGAAGGTCCAGGGTTGCTACGCAGAGGCAGGCGACGGCAAACCCACCTCCTTTTGTGTGCTGCCCCGACCTGGATGGGCCAGACGAGCCCGATCTCGTTCAGATCTCAGAAGCTAAGCAGGGTCGGCCCTGGTTAGAACTTGGATGGGAGACCACCCAGGATGTCCACCGTCACTACGCAGAGGCAGGTAGTGGCAATCCGCCTCCGAATGTCTCTTGTCTCGAAAACCCCCACGGGGCTCGTCATAAGTCAGCGATACTCGATGGTAATCGACACACACCCTTGCTTTCCCAAGAGGGCTACGTGTAGACCCCGAAATAGCCCAGAAGACAAATGCCCCTGCAGTGCTCCCTCTAAGCCACGGAGTCCTGTGAGCAAAAATTCTACTTGGTGAGCTTACCGGCATTCAAGTTGTGAGCGAGCAATTTGGCGACTGCATCGATTAGTCTGCTCTGGAGCCACATCCTTCCTGAGTGAAGACAAAAATGTGTGAGCCGGAGGCTAAAAAGCTGTGAGCTAGCTCACACTGGCTCAACTTAGAGGGAACACTGGCGCCTAGCCCAGCTGAGTCAGCCCTGTGTGAATTATCTGCCCGTATAAACTGGGCGTGTGTATGTGTGTGAAAATTAGTTGTGCCGGAGGAAGGTATACCCAGCGCTTAGAAAGGGAAGCAAACTCAATTTGGATCTGTCTCATTAGATTTTTGTTGCGGGGGGTGGGTGGGGATTAATTCAGACTGCTCAGCACTTCCTTTGCACAGCTGGAGAGCTTTTCTGAGCTTGAATCGGGGGGGGGCTGTCTTTGAGGGTTTCGGGCTGATCCCAATCGGCAGAAAATCAATGGAAGTTTTTAAGAAAAGTGTCAAACAAACGAGGAAGAGCTTTTCTTCTTTAAGCCTCGCCAAAACATGAAACTCAAATTAGCGGGGTTGTTCCAGCTTAGCCTTTAACAACCTTCAGAAGCTCAAAGGACTTTGAGGGCAGCTATGGATTTAGCAGGACTTCTTAGTTTGGCAGCCGTAGTTGCCCTGCTGCAAGTTAACGAGTTTCATTCAGGCTGTAGCAGAGCTATCTATAAGGCTTTGAACCAAGGCAGATGCTACAGAGGAAGATGGAAAGAGAAAGAAGGGACCGGCTCCGTTGTTCTGACAGAGCTTCTGAATCCAGAGGGGGGAAATGGTTTTCCCTGAGATCTTTATAGGGCCTTGAAGTAAAAGCTTGTTTAATGCTTATTCGTTTCTATCGCATGCAAATTCTGCCCATATTAATACACGTGGACACTGCAGTGAGATCTTTGCACCTGAATCAGCATATTCCTAAATGTCGTTTAGGTATCTGTTGCAGTACCAGGAACCGATCCCTTGCGAGCAGCTGGTCACCGCCCTTTGTGATATCAAGCAAGCTTACACGCAGTTTGGAGGTGAGCAAGTGGGTTCTTCCCCCCTTCAAATGTCAAAAGTCTTTGTGAATAATTCATGCCATTCAGCCTAACAGTCTAAGGAAGATTCGTGTTGAGTACGGGAGGTCTTTGTTTTCTGAATATATTAGCCACTATCTGAATATATTAGCACCTTATGAAATTGTCTTTTAATTGTGAATTTTTACTGTATTTATTGGTTCTATTGCATTTTAAGTGTGCAAGCCGCCTTGAGGCAGTGCTGCACCGGCAGGGCGGGATATAAATTGAAATAAATAAATAATAAACAATTTTCAGAATTAATTGTGAATCGAACACAGCTAGATCATCTAGGTAAAGGTTCCCTTGCTCGAAAGCCAGTCGAATCCGACTCTAGGGTTGCGGTGCTCATCTCCGTTTCAAAGCCGAAGAGCCAGCGCTGTCCAAAGACGTTTCCGTGGTCGTGTGGCCGGCATGACTAGACGTCGAAGCGCACGAAACGCTGTTACCTTCTCACCGAAGTGGTACCTATTTATCTACTTGCAATTTCTTGCTTTCGAACGGCTAGGTTGGCAGGAGCTGGAACTAGGGACGGGCGCTCACTCCGTCATGCGGCAACCCAGGTCTCGAACTGCTGAACTACCGACCTTCCACAGCCTGCAGTTCAGCGTCTTAACCACTTGAGCCACCGCAGCTCCTAGATAATCTAGGTACACCGTAGCAAACAATTGGAGCCCTTTGTAGCCAGTGATTCTTCAGTCTCTGAATCGCCGCCGGGGCATTTCTCAGCCCAAACGGCATAACGGTAAACCGATACCAGCCTGTCTGGGTGACGACTGCTCAGTTGGGTTGGTCCTCAGCTCTTAGCTGGATCTGCCAACATCCCTGACACAGGTCAGAAGTGCTGATAAAGTTCGGCCTCCCCAGCTCATCCAGCGGCGCATCCACCTGTGGCGTGGGGTACATGTCGTACGGGGTGATTGCATTCAGCTTGCAATAATCCACACGGACTTCCATGGTCCCATCCAGTGTCTTCACCAAGACGGAGGGGGCTTCCCATGGACTGGTGGATTCCTGCAGGTCACCCAGTTCCAATATCTTCCTCATGCAGTGAGAGCAGGCCGAAAGCTCTAAATCTGCTAGTACACAAAAACATACGTGAAGCTGCCTTATACTGAATCAGAGCCTTGGTCTCTCAAGGTCAGTACTGTCTGCTCAGACTGGCAGCCGCTCTCCAGGGTCTCAGGAAGAGGTCTTTCCCATCACCTACCGCCTGATCCTTTTAGCTTGAAATGCATTGAACCTAGAGATGTGAAGGCCTGGGAAAAACCAGGAAAGTTTGGGGGAAAAACGTTTTTCCCCGTTTTTTCCCCTGAAGCCTTTTTTGGGTTTTTTCCCGAAAAATTGGAAAAATTGAAAAAAGAAAAGGAAAAAAAAATGATTATGGAACATTTTATTTTATTTTAACATGATGAATAAAATATTTTGAGACAAAGTGTTCGAATATTTTCCAAATCATTTCTAAAAAATACATATGGTATCAGATTGATCTAATTTCTGTGCACTGAGGACAAGCAAGTCCTAGGTTACAAACGGAACTCTCCAATGCAAGAAGAAGATGCATTTCTTCCTTTAGGAGGTCCTATTGTCACAAGAAAAGAAAAGAGTTTCAGGTTGTTGGGGTTTTTTTGTATGTGGGTGGGTATTCTGTTTGTAATTATTGTTTGGATACAGTATATTTTTAATATGCTAGTTGTGATCATTTCATGCCAAGTAAAAATGTCCATAGTCATATTGTATGTTCCTAAAGTAACAGAATGACTTTCAGTCTGGAAAAGGAAAAAGAAGTGCTAATGTAGCACTTTTTTCAGTTTTTCCGAAAATTTCCGTCCCCCCCCCCCAAAAAAAGGGTTTTTTTCCCGTGCTTCAAAATTTCCGGAAATTTTACATCTCTAATTGAACCTGGGACCTTCTGTGTGCTAAGCAGATGCTCTATCACTGAGCCAAGGCCCCGCCCTTAAAGCGGTGCTTCATACTTGAACACACATGAAGCTGCCATGTCCTGAATCAGACCCTTGGTCCAACAGAGTCACTATTGTCTACTCAGACTGGCAGTAGCTCTCCTGGGTCTCAGGCTGAGGTCTTTCACATCACCTACTGCCTGGTCCTTATCACAGAATCACAGAGTCGAAAGGGGCCACACGGGTCCAACCCCCTGCTCAGTGCAGGGTCAGCCTAGATCTCCAGTCTTTCAGCTGGAGATGGCGGGGATTGAACCCGGGACCTTCTGCATGCTAAGCAGAGGCTCTACCACTGAGCCACAGCCCCACTTATTTAGCACTGTCTACTTGGACTGGCCATGGCTCTCCAGGGTCTCAGGCTGAGGTCTTTCCCATCACCTACTCCCTGGTCCTTTTAGCTGGAGATGCCAGGGATTAAACCTGGGACCTTCTGCATGCCAAGCAGATGCTCTACCACTGAGCCACAGCCCCACTCATTTAGCACTGTCTACTAAGACTGGTAGCGGCTCTCCAGGGTCTCAGGCTGAGGTCTTTCCCATCACCTACTGCCTGGTCCTTTTAGCTGGAGATGCCGGGGATTGAACCCGGGACCTTCTGCATGCCAAGCAGAGGCTCTGTCACTGAGCCACAGCCCCACTCGTTTAGCACTGTCTACTAAGACTGGTAGTGGCTCTCCAGGGTATCAGGCTGAGGTCTTTCCCATCACCTACTGCCTGGTCCTTTTAACTGGAGATGCCAGGGATTGAACCTGGGACCTTCTGCATGCCAAGCAGAAGCTCTACCACTGAGCCACGGCCCCTCCCCCTAGCACAGATGGAGACCTGGGTTAGTTGCAAAACGCAGGTCTGCCAGAGAGCTTCGTTTGATGGGTGATATTGTTAAGGCCAGCATGTTCGGGAAAGATGTATCTTAGAATAAACAAAGCCGCAAAATCAATCCTAGAACGCGCCGCCTCAGCTGTTTTTCTAAGAAACTGCAGATGGGTTGCAAGTTAACCCCCCTTGAGTGTTGACCTCTCCCCCTTAGAAGCCAAGATCCCACGTTAAAACGAGTTCCTTTATACCTCACTTCATGGAAAGAAAACAATAAGGGGATTGACTTAGTGCTTATCTTTTTTTTTTTTTAAGCCCCCGGAGGGGATTTTTTATTGATTTTTTTTAAACACTACAAAAACTAGAACAGAAAAAAGGGAAAGGGAAAGCTACATATAAGGGAGAGAGTAAAGAACCCACTACTAACTAAAAACCCAAGAGAGGAGATCCTCCAACTAGCTTTTTATACTTCATTCAGACTTTTCATCTTTGTACTTCTTATGAACTGTGTCAATCTTTTAACCCTTTTAACCATCCCCAGTTACATTTAATTGCCCAATAACAGTGCCCCCCATCATCCCCTAGAACCAAAGTTCTCAAAGGCACAATTCACAATGGCACAATAAGGGGATTGACTTAGTGCTTATCTTAAGGAGCAGTAGGACAGACCATCCTATGAAATCCCACTTCATAGAAAAAGATCTGGACTTTTCTTGATCTCCCTCCCCCACACACACACACCTTGCCAAAAGCAGGATTTGTGGCCATTCATGCTTCTTAATTTAAATTGCCCATAACCTTGTCTTTGACAGGCAAACGTCCCTTCGGCGTTTCATTGCTGTACATTGGCTGGGATAAGCACTACGGGTTCCAGCTGTATCAGAGCGACCCGAGCGGAAACTACGGGGGGTGGAAAGCCACGTGCATCGGAAACAACAGCGCCGTAAGTTCTCTTGCCTCCTTTTGCCATTCTCTCTGCATTATTGACTTCCAGTTTGGTGTAGTGGTTAAGTGCGCGGACTCTAATCTGGGAGAACCGGGTTTGACCCCCCCCACTCCTCCACATGCAGCGGCTGGTGTGACCTTGGGTCAGTCACAAGTTCTCTCAGAGCTGTTCTCTTAAGAGCAGTTCTCTTAAGAGCTCTCTCAGTCCCACCTACCTCACAGGGGGTCTGTTGTGGGGAGAGGAAGGGAAAGGAGATTGTCAGCCGCTCTGAGACTCCTTTGGGTAGTGAAGGGCAGGGCATAAATCCAATCACCAAGAGCCAGTTTGGTGTAGTGGTTATGTGCGCGGACTCTAATCTGGGAGAACCGGGTTTGACACCCCCCCACTCCTCCACATGCAGCGGCTGGTGTGACCTTGGGTCAGTCACAAGTTCTCTCAGAGCTGTTCTCTTAAGAGCAGTTCTCTTAAGAGCTCTCTCAGTCCCACCTACCTCACAGGGTGTCTGTTGTGGGGAGAGGAAGGGAAAGGAGATTGTCAGCCGCTCTGAGACTCCTCTGGGTAGTGAAGAGCGGGGTATAAATCCAATCTCTTCTGTTCTTCTTCTTTATGCAAAAATACACAGCCATCATTCTACATATATTAATTTGAGCTTCAGCTCACAGGCTCCGCTTCTGCAACGGTCTCACGCAGGCCAGCGAGAAAACTGCCGTGTCATCTATTCCTTCTCTTAAACAGGCCGCCGTGTCAATGTTAAAGCAGGACTACAAAGAGGGAGAGATGACCCTGAAATCTGCACTTGCTTTAGCTGTCAAAGTCCTGAACAAGACCATGGATGTTAGTAAGCTGTCTGCAGAGAAAGGTGAGCGAAGCAGTTCCTTCGTCATTCTCCCCCCGAAAATTTAGGCTACGGCCATAATTGGTTTCGGCCTTTACCTCGGAGAGAACAGAGTCTCGTCTTCACCAATATCACAGCTGACCATTTTGCTAATGCTCAGTGTAATTGCAGTAGTTGAGAATTAAATCTGTTGTTGCCCATGAGAAAGTCTCATAGGGAAGGGTTCGGGCGTCGTGACAAATTACGACTTGGTGCTGCACGAATGAGCACTGGGCCGGAATCAGTGACTGCTTTAAAAGGAGATTAGATAGATTCACGGAGGAGAGATCTATCCGTGGCTACTAGCCATGGTGACTGAAGGGAACCTCCACGTTCAGAGGCAGTCAGCCTCTGAATACCAGTGCCAGGAGGCACCTGCAGGAGAAGGCCTCAGCCCCCATGCCCTGCCATTGGTCCTCCAGAGGAACTGGTTAGCCACTGTGTGAGACAGGGTGCTGGACTAGATGGACCACTGGTATGACCCAGCAGGGCTCTTCTTATGTTCTTAGGAAGGCCTCGGCCTTTATGCCCTGCTGTTGGCCCTCCAGAGGAACTGGCTGGCCACTGTGTGAGACTGGATGCTGGACTAGATGGACCACTGGTCTGTTCCAGCAGGGCTGTTCTTATGTTTTTATGAAGGCTTCGGCCTCTATGCCTCTTGTTGGCCCTCCAGAGAAACTGGCTGGCCACTGTGTGAGACAGAATGCTGGACTAGGTGGACCACTGGTCCGATCCCGCAGGGCTCTTCTGATGCTGTTATTAGGGGAAGGCCTTGGCCTCTCTGCCCTGTTGTTGGCCCTCCAGAGGAACTGGTTGGCCACTGTGTGAGACAGAATGCTGGACTAGATGGACCACTAGTCTGATCCAGCAGGGCTCTTCTGATGTTTTTATGTTTTTATGCCTCTTGTTGGCCCTCCAGAGGAACTGGTTGGCCACTGTGTGAGACAGAATGCTGGACTAGATGGACCACTAGTCTGATCCAGCAGGGCTCTTCTGATGTTCTTAAAAAGGCCTCGGCCTTGATGCCCTGTGGTTGGCCCTCCAGAGGAACTGGCTGGCCCCTATGTGAGACAGGAGGCTGGACTAGATGGACCACTGGTCCGATCCAGCCGGGCTCTTCTTATGGTCCTTACTTTAGGGGCTTTAGCTGGCTAATTCTAAAATCCAAGCCTCGAGGTAAAACTTTAAAGCCATGCTCTGGAAGACATTGGTGTCAGTGGCGCTTTGGGGATTCGGGTCTTGTTCTGCCACCACAGCCTTAATGCGTCTCCCCACCTGAAACGAAACATTTTCTCGTTTCAGTCGAAATCGCAACCTTAACGCGAGAGAACGGAAAGACGGTGATAAGGGTTCTGAAGCAGAAAGAAGTGGAGGAGTTGATAAAGAAGCACGAAGAGGAAGAAGCCAAATCTGAGCGTGAAAAGAAAGAGAAAGAGCAAAAGGAAAAAGATAAATAAACGACGACCCTGCGAGGTGGTGGGTCTGTACAGATTTTCAGTTCAGTGCACAGAGGAGCGAAGAAACCAGAAACACTGTCTACTGAATGAGCTGATTATACCATTGAAACCAAACTATTCCCGCCCTCCTCCTCTCGGTTCTTCTCGTCTTCATTTCTTTTTTATTGCACAATAAAAAACTTTTTAAAAACGGCGCTGTCAACGCTTGTGGTGCATTACTAGCGTCTGGTATGCTAATGCCGCAGGAAGCCATTTGGTTTGCCATATATAACTGCTTGGAACGGCGCCTCAGCCTGACAAATTGGAATTTAAGGGAGTAACGGAAGAAGAATCGGAGAGACTGAAAATACATTTTCAGACGTTACATTTTCAATAGGTCAGCGCCGCACAGATGAAAAGCAAACTGAGCTCCTCCAAATGTGACAGAAATCACGCCGTCCTACTTTTTCCACGATTGTCTGTTTATTTCAAAGATTTCTATGTGGCCTTTCCACCCCAGTTCAGGGTCTCCATGGCGGCGAACCATGGAAACATTACATTTTAAAATGCGCATATATAAAAATAGTAAGAAGAGTTCAATAAACAGACACATCAGTGCTCATGCGTAAGATAATGAATAATATAGCGGCAGTGGAATCCTATGAAGAGATAAAAGGTAAAGGTTTCCCTTGCTCGAAAGCCAGTCGAATCCGACTCTAGGGATGCGGTGCTCATCTCCGTTTCAAAGCCGAAGAGCCAGCGCTGTCCGAAGACGTTTCCATGGTCCTGTGGCCGGCATGACTAAACGCAGAGGCGCACGGAACGCTGTTCCCTTCCCACCGAAGTGGTTCCTATTTATCTACTTGCAGTTTCTTGCTTTCGAACTGCTAGGTTGGCAGGAACTGGGCCAGAGACGGGCACTCCCAGCACTCGGGTCTCAAACTGCTGAGCTACCGACCTTCCAGAGTTACTCCAGTCTAAAAGTCTACTAATGTCAGTGGACTTAAACTGGAGTAACTAACCCTGCATAACCTTGTGCTGTAAACCTTCCCTATACTCAAAGCAAACCGTGTAAAAAGATAAAATCCAAGTACGCAGTAACTGAAAAACAATAATTTGAATAATTTACAGTCTGTGCATTATTCCTGAAGTGATTCTTCTGTCATTTGAGAAACAATTGTCATTAGTTATGGATCAGTTGTTTTTGAAACGTCTTCATGGAGTGCCTGTATTGATTTATGTGATTGGGTGTACCATAGAGCCCAATATATAAATAAGACTGTTTTGTCAGGGAGAAAAAGTCTAAAGCTGCAAATATGATTGGAAATATTCTCTTGATGCAAGAAACTATATCATCACAAAGCGGTTGGTCTTCCTCTGTTCCACATTGGTCACAGTCAACGTTTCCTCTAAGCTATGGAGTCTTGTGAGCAAAAATTCTACTTTGTGCGCTACTGGCATTAAAGTTGTGAGCAAGCAACTTGGCTGCTGCATAAATTAGTTTGCTCTGGAGCCCTCCTTCCTGAGCAGAGACAAAAATGTGTGAGCCAGAGGCTAAAAAACTGTGAGCTAGCTCACACTAACTCAGCTTAGAGGGAACACGTCACAGTTCCCTTTGGTTTTGTATGCTAGTGATGTTTGTTCAGCAAACTGGTATTTCCAAACCCTTTATGTGGGTGAGCTTTTTCCCCATTCTTTATGGAAGGATAATGGATCCTGAAGTCAACAGAATGGATCCTAAAGTTAACAGAAGGTACCAAGTCTGTAGATCCAGCCGTTCTAGTAATAAGAATTATGTGGGATTTTACACTGCTCTTGGGTAATGCTGCCCTGAGCGAGGCTTGAATCTGAATTTCTCTTCAGAAGATTCAGGGTTATTCTAAATTACCCCCCCCAAAAAAAAAAACCCACGATTTTCTAAAAAATATGGGCCCTGAACGTTTTTAGACATTTCCCCCCAGTTTTAATTGCTCCAGTGATATTTTGACTTGGATTTGATCTGTAAAAAACATCACAGATTTCCTTCTCGAAAGCTGTTTTATTAGTACAGAGGAATAGCTGTCCCATTCTTGATCCGAGAATTTTTTTTATTGCTTTCATACTGAAATGAATTTCCCAGGGCCAGTCTGCAATTAACCCATCTCCTTCAAACCTCAGATTAAGATTTCAGGGGTCAGTTTTTGCCCAAAACCCTGAATTTTTTTTTCAAGGGTAGGTCAATGTCCCCATTGATTGAAAGAGGGTCAGAATATGGGTAAGAATAATTCTGCAGTTATTGAAACAGGAACGATCACGCCCGCTTCATTATCTGAGCATTCCAGCAGTAAGCCTAGGCGGCACAATAATATACCGCGGGAGTAAATCATAGCCACCATTTTAAAAGCATACTTGTGCTAAGAAAATATGTACAAAGCAGAGGTGTCCGACTCATTTGTTATGAAGGCCAGATCTGACATAAATGCCGCTTTGTCGGCAATGCTCCCTCTAAGCAGTGGAGTCTTGTGAGCAAAAAATCTGCTTTGTGAGCTACTGGGATTAAAGTTGTGACTAACCACTACACCAAACTGGATACATGGGGCCAGATTAATCCAGGTAAGCACCCTTTTGCTGAATGTAGATGTCAGGTAGTGAAGATTTTGCCTAAGCTCTGTAAAGTAGATGTGTTTCCTGCAGGGGAAGTCCTAAATTGTGATGGGGATGGGGGATGCTTAACCTTTTAAGGGTGAAAGACACAAATGAGAAACTCCACCAACCAAAATGCTAATTCATGCCATTAAATATCACAATTTTGTCCTGCCTGTCTTGCAAGGAGTTTAGAGCCGAATACAGAGGATTCTTTCCTCTTTTTTGCAAGATGGATTAAGATTCAGAGCCAGTCACTGGCCGAAAGTGAGACAAGGGGTTTCAAAGCTCAAGGGGAATTTAGTCTCAGGTCTGTGACAATATAGGTTCATGTTATGCCAAACAGATGCCTGCAAAGGGAAGGCTAACAATGGGCAGGACTGCTTGTTCAAGAGAGCCAGTTTGGTGCAGTGGTTTAGGAGTGTGGGCTGTAATCTGGGAGAACCAAGTTTGACTCCCCACTCCTTCACATGCAGCTGCTGGTGTGACCTTGGGTCAGTCACAAGTTCTCTCAGAGCTGTTCTCTAACGAGCAGTTCTCAAAAGAGTTCCCTCACCACCACCCCGCCTCGCAGGGTGTCTGTTGTGGGGAGGAGAAGGGAAAGGAGATGTTAAGCTGCTCTGAGACTCCAAGTGAAGGGTGGGGTATAAATCCAATCTCTTCTTCATAAAAGCAGAATCATAAATAAACCTATAACTTCTGATCGATTGGACCTGGCCAATAAAAGTTACGCTCAGCAAAGGTGTGGGCTATTCATTAATGCCTGGGATGTATTTACCGGGAAGTGACAGAACGTCTCTCTGAGCTGTCTGAAGGTAAAATGCTACTCATTCTGATTCTAACAAATGATGCGATGGCAGATCAAAACTTGCTTGTCTGATCGATTGGACCTGGCCAATAAAAGTTACGCTCAGCAAAGGTGTGGGCTATTCATTAATGCCTGGGATGTATTTACTGGGAAGTGATAGAATGTCTCTGAGCTGTCTGAAGGTAAAATGCTACTCATTCTGATTCTAACAAATGATGCGATGGCAGATCAAAACTTGCTTGTGTGGTATTCCTTGCAAAACTGCCTGGCTAAGCACTTTGGGTATACACAAAGCCAGGGACTCTGAAGTTGAGAAACTTTCATTTAATGTCAAATCTGCAAATTGACAGTTCACCACAGAGTATATATCAAGCCACCGCAGGTGGAGGAAAACATTATTGTGGGAGTAGCTTTTCCCTAAATGCCTGCATTGTGCTTTTCTCATTCTCACACACAACCAAAAACTGGTTGTTTTAGATGAAGATCTGAATCTGAATCCCAGAGCCAGGGGGCAACATAAGGGGAAGACCTTGGCCTCTCTGCCCTGTTGCTGGACATCCAGAGGAACTGGTTGGCCATTGTGAGAGACAGGAGGCTGGGCTAGATGGACCACTGGTCTGATCCAGCAGGGCTCTTCTGATGTTCTTAGGAAGGCCTCGGCCTCTCTGCACTGTTGTTGGACCTCCAGAGGAACTGGTTGGCCCCTGTGTGACAGGATGCTGGACTAGAGGGACCACTGGTCTGATCCAGCAGGGCTCTTCTGATGTTTTTTTGAAGTCCTCGGCCTCTCTGCCCTGTTGCTGGACCTCCAGAGGAACTGGTTGGCCCCTGTGTGAGACTGGATGCTGGACTAGATGGACCACTGGTCTGATCCAGCAGGGCTCTTCTGATGTTCTTATGGAGGCCTCGACCTCTATGCTTTGTTGTTGGACCTCCAGAGGAATTGGTTGGCCACTGTGTGAGACAGGAGGCTGGACTCGATGGACCCTCACTGGCCTGATCCAGCAGGGCTCTTCTGATGTTCTTATTGATTCAGGTGAGCAAGCCATGTTGGTCTGAAGCAATGGAACAAAGTTTGGGTCCAGTGGCACCTTTAATGCCAACAAGGTTTTATTCTGGGTTATAAGCTTTTATCCGCGCGCACACTTCTTCAGATTGTATGTTGCGGCTACTCCGACGCAGCCATTTCCTCCAGGGGAACTGATATCTCTAGCCTGGACATAAGCTGTAATTCCAGGGGATCCCCAGGTCCCACCTGGAGGCTGGCATCCCTACCTGGATCTAGTTTAATTCTAGACATAAGCTTTCGTAGTCATGCACATTTGAGGAATATTGGCTCTTATTATCAAGACTGGCTCTTTTTATCAAGACCAGGGCTATTTGTGGGCAGGAACGCACAGGAACGGAGTTCTGGCTGGCTCCCAAGTTGGCCACACCCAGCAGGAACTCATTAGCATAACAGGCCACACCCAACAGCAGAAACTCATTAGGATTGGCTACAATTAGGGGTGTGTGGCCTAACATGCAAAAAGCCCTGGGTTTTGACAACAAAAAAGGTGGGTGTGGCTGGATGACCACACTTCTGGTGACATGGGGGTGTGGCTCAATATGCTAACAAGATGTGCTGCCAGGGGTGTGGCCTAATAGGCGAATGAGTTTTTGCTGTTGGGTGTGGCCTATTATGCTAATGAGTTCCTGCTGGGTTTTTTCTACAAAAAGAGCCCTGAAAGACCAATAATGCTAATGTACTATATTTTAGCTAATCGGATTATAATACTAGTGTTAATTATAAAAATATTATTAGTGCCAATAATACTTGAGGAAGTCTGTTTCCATGTCTCTGGAGAGGGGGTACATAAACAGGGAAGCTTATACCCAGAATTAGATTTTTTTGGTCTTTAAGGTACCCCCTGGGCACAGACCTTGGTCTTCTGAGGGAGCCACTGATTTCCACCCTGAAGTGGTACAGCCTCCCCTCAGGGAAGCCTCTGCCACCTCAGCCTGTGTGGGAGGTGAGGCACCGTAGAGTTGCCAGAGCCATGTTGGGGAACTCCTGGAGATTTGGGATGGAGATTAAAGCTTATACCCAGAATTAAACTTTGTGGGTCTTCAAGGTACCGTTCTCCTGAAAGAGCCACTTTCATTTATTTCAGCCTGAGAAGTGGTACAGCCTCTCCTCAGGGACATCTCTACCGCCTCCGCACCCGTGGCTGGCATCCCCACCTGAATCTGGTTTAATTCTGGGTATAAGCTCTGGCGTTCAAGCACACTTGAGGAACACTGGCTCTTATGATCAAGAGCCAGGGGTCATTTCGCAGAAAAAGAGGTGGAGCAGCTCATTCACATAACTCATTCGCATAACTTATTTGCATATGCCACACCCCCTGACATCACCAGGAGTCCGTCTTACAGGCCCTGCGGAACTGTGAGAGGTTCTGCAGGGCCCTGATCTCCTCTGGGAGCTCATTCCACCAGGATGGAGCCACCACCGAGAAAGCCCTGGCCCTGGTCATTGCCAGCCTGGCCTCCTTAAGACTCAGGAGGGCCAGTCAGTTCTGGGCCCCTGAACGCAGTGCTCTCTGGGGAAAGGCAGTCCCTTAGGCAGGGGTCATTTCCTGCAGGAGCGCACAGGAGCGGAGCTCCGGCAGTAAAGAGCCCAGGGGGTCATTTCCTGCGGGAGTGGAGCTCCCGCAGTAAGGAGCCCAGGGGGCGGGCACATGCAACAAGCCCCGCCCCCTGCTCCCAGCAGCCCTCAGTCAGAGCAAGAAGCAGCCAGGTACGTTACAGAGCCCCCCTCCAGCCGCCTTCAGGTACAAGCTCTCCCTCCTCTATGAGGGCAGATCTGCGGGTTCCCCCACCCCCAAATAGCTAACAATCCAAAACAGTCCAGTGGCACCTTTAAGACCAAATTTTATTCAGGTACCAGCTCTCCCTCCTCTGCAAGGACAGATCTGCACACACACACCCATAGCTAGCAATCCAAAACAGCCCAGTGGAGCCTGAGCGGTGGGTGTTGCCTTCTGACACACTTTGGTGACGTCAGGGGGCGTGGCGTATGCAAATAAGCCATGCTAATGAGCTGTGCTAATGAGCCCCTGCCCCTCTTTTTCCACGAAATGACCCCTGCCTACCTGAATCTAGTTTAATTCTGGATATAAGCCTTGGTGTTCGTGCACACCTGAGGAAGTCTATTTCCATGTCTCTGAAGAAGTGCATGCTAGGGTTCCCAGTTCTGGGTTGGGAAACCCCTGGAGCCTTTTGGGGGTGGAGCCTTGGACCTGCAGGGTTTGGGGAGGGACCTCAACATCCTAGTAAAGGTAAAGGTCTTCCTTGCTCGAAAGCCAGTCGAATCCGACTCTGAGTTATGCCAATGAGCTCCTGCACCTCTTTTTCTACGAAATGACCCCTGCCCTTAGGTATGTAGGTCCCTGACCATAAAGGTGCCCCTGGACTCAGACCTTGTTCTTATGAGAGAGAGCCGCTCTAATTTCTCCACCCTGAAGTGGTACAGCCTCCCCTCCAGGAGGCGTCTACCACCTCAGCCCACATGGGAGGCAATGAAGGCCGGCTTGTTGTGGCCACTCTCCAAAGCATCTATGTTCCCCAGGGGAACTGATCTCTATGTAGTCTGGGGATGAGCTGTAATTCCCGGGGAATCCCCAGGTCCCACCTGGAGGCTGGCATCCCCACCCGAATCTAGTTTAATTCTGGGCATAAGCTTTGGTGTTCACGCACGCTTGAGGATATCGGTTTCCATGTCTCTCAAGAGGGTGTGCATGCACAGGGAAGCTAATTCCCAGAATTAAACTTTGTTGGTCGTCGAGGGGCCCCTGGACTCAGACGTTGGTCTTATGAGAGAGACGCTTTAATTTCCAGCTCAAAGTGGTACAGCCTCCCCTCAGGGAGGACTCTACCAACTCAGCCCAGGTGGGAAGCAATGAGTGATGGCTTGTTGCAGCCACTCTCCAAAGCATCCATTTCCTCCAGGGGAGCTGATCTCTGTAGTCTGGGGATGAACAGCCAGGTGCCGCCTGGAGGTTGGCAACCCCATGCACCGGAGAGCTGCCCAAAACACAGACCCCAGACCCAGACTTTGGTCTCCAAAGCGCCCCTGGACTCAGCCCTCGCCCTGCTGAGAGACCCACTCTGATTTCTCCCACCCTGAAGTGGTACAGCCACACCCCCACTCCGAGAGGCCTGTACCACCGCAGCCCGCGAGGGAGGCGAGGAGGGGCGGCGCGTCGCGGCCGGGCTTCCCCGCTTCCTCCCCACCTCCGCCGGGGGGCGGGGATTCGGCGGCCGCCGTCGACTGAGCCGCCCTTGCGGGTCTCGCCTTGCCGGGCGCTCCGCGGGGACTCAGCCATGGCGCAGCCTCGGCGGCGCGGCGCTCCCGTCCCGGCTCTCCCACTTGTCCTCCTCCTCCTCCTCCTGCCCCTCGCCCGAGGAGGGATCCAGCCCGGCAGCAGCGGCAGCGGCAGCGGCGGCGGCTCTTTTCTGGGTAAGGAGTCCCGGGGGGTCGTGTGAACGGAGCTGAAAGCCGGGCGCGCGTTGGGGCGCCCCTCCTGCGCGCCCGCAGTGGGTCAGGATGCGAAGGGAGGTTGTTGGGGTGGGGTTAAGGGAAAGGGAAAGGTCTCCCTTGCTCGAAAGCCAGTCGAGTCCGACTCTAGGGTTGCGGTGCTCATCTCCGTTTCCAAGCCGAAGAGCCAGCGCTGTCCGAAGACGTTTCCGTGGTCATGTGGCCAGCATGACTAAACGCCAAGGCGCACGGAACGCTGTTCCCTTCCCACCGAAGTGGTACCTATTTATCTACGTGCAATTTCTTGCTTTCGAACTGCATTGCTGTGCTGTGGTTATTCACGTGTGATACTCTGGATAGGACCTGGAGAGAAACCAGATTATAGTCCTAATGCTGTAGGTCAGATGCATTTATTGTCATATTGGGGTTGGCGCTCTTCTAAAGTGTCTTTATTATCTCCAGTATATTGTCAGTGTCGATAATAGCATTATTAGTTTTGCTAGTGATGGCATTTCGGATCCCGGTTATCAGTTATTGATCAGTTCCCCTACCAGCCATGCTAATGTAACTTTGTTAGGGTTATGCTAGAAGTATCATGTTGAAAATAATGAAAGACATTCTGATTTGTGAAAACGGCGAATGAAAAGAGGAGAAATTAGGGTTGGGGCAGGAAACAGGGATTGGCTTTTGCAATAGCGGAAAACGGCGAATGAAAAGAGGAGAAATTACGGTTGGGCCAGGATGGCTTTTGCAATAGCAGCGTTGCAAGATCAATTGCAAAATCAATATTGTTATCAATACTCATAATGCTAATACAACTCTGTTATAGCAATACTTCTATGTTAGGATTATTAGTGACAGCGTTCATAATAGTGGGGTCTTATTTTCAGTGGCAAGAATGCTGATATAACTTTGATAAGTGTGGGGACTCTAATCTGGAAAACCAGGTTTGAGTCCCCACTCCTCCACATGCACCTGGCTGGATGACCTGGGGCAAGCCGTAGTTCTGACAAGAGCTGTCCTTGAAAAAGAGCCGTTTCTGTCAAGAGCTCTCTCAGCCCCACCTACTGCACAGGGTGTCTTTTGGGGGAAGGGGAAGGAGTCTGTAAACCGCTCTGAGACACCTTTGGGTAGTGAAGGGCGGGGTATAAATCCAATCTCTTCTTCTTCTATAATAATAACAATAATATAGTGGTGTTCATAATAATGAGGTCTTACTATCAATACCGATAATGTGAATATAACTATCATAGTCACACTTTTACATTAGTGTTATTATAGTTACACTTTAATATTAGTATTATTAGTGATAGTGTTCATAATAATAGGGTCTTATTATTAATACTAATAATACTAATATAACTCTGTTATAGCTGTACTATACTAGTATTATTAGTGACAGAGTTCATAATAATAGGGTCTTATTATCAATACCAGTAATGCTAATACTATTCTGTTATGGGTATACTTCTGCATTAGTATTATTAGTGATATCATTCATAATAATGGGGGGGTCTTATCAGATAATAATGCTAATATAACTGTATTATAGTTGCATTTATATTAGTGATAACATTCATAATACTGGCTCTTATGCTCAAGACCAATAATCCTAATATAACTATTAGTTATACTTTTATATTAGTATTATTAGAGATTGCATTCCTAATAATGGGGCTCTTATTATCAAGACCGGTAATCCTAATATAACTGTATTATAGTTGCATTGATATTAGTGATAATATGCCCAATACTGACTCTTTTCATCAAGACCAATAATGCTAATGTACTATATTATCACTAATAGAATTATAATACTAGTGTTTATTATGGAAATGGTATTAGTGCCAATAATGCCAATATAGCTATGTTTGCAGTGTTCTCAGTAATAGTATTATAATGTCATCTATTAACCAACACTCACAGAGCCCTAATATTATGATATTACAATTTTTAGCTGTTCCTTTGTTGGATGTCGGAGGAATACGTATCTGTCTGTTTTGATTTCTTTTGACTTTTTTTTTGTTTCAGTTATATAGTTATGGAATGCTGATTTTTTCCCCCTGATTTGATGTTTTATTCCACACACACACACACGCACACACCACCCTGGTTTATTGCATGCTTTTAAGTGCTTTCCTTAAAAGCACCTTTCGACTCCAAGATAAAGCAGCCCCCAAAATATTTTTAGGATAAAAATTAAACCCCTTCCTTCCTAAATGTAGGCACTGAGCGCGTGCACACACACGCACACACACACACAAACACACACACAAAGCGCACCTGCCCTGCGAAAGATTTCTTCTTAGTCTTCATTTCTTCCAGGCGGAACTTGGTGCAGTAGAGCTTTGCGGTTAAGAACAGAGAAATGCTTCTGTCGTACAAAAGAGATGATGCGGGATTTTGGAGTTTTAAAAATAACTGCTTGTGCTCGACAGGGGTAAAAGGAGAAAATCCTGATGGGATTTAACAGATAAGGATGCATTTGTGCGGCTGAGGCATGGATTTTTTGGAGGGGGGGGGGCTTTGGAGGATTTCGCACGCCTAAAATCTGATTTGGAGGGTTTCAGACATGAGCATTGCAATGCTAGGGGGATAATGCAGCAGCGGAAGTCATCAAACCGGCTTTAGATCTTTTTTTAGAGAAAAAGCCCAAAAGTATATAATGAAAATGGTTTTTTTTAAGAGTCTCACGCTAAACCGCCGCGTTGCAGTTCTCTTTTGCAGGAAGAAGAGTGAGGATGTTGTGAGAACGTTTCGTTCCCACCCCACCCCATGTACCTTTTGCTTTGGTTCACGTAGGTTCACGCTGGGAACACCGTTTGCTCCTGAGACCGATTCGCCCTCATTTTTGTCTTGTAAACCGTTCAGGCATTTTTATAGTTGCTCTGCATCTGTACTTTTTCGCCCAGTGGGACGTTATTCAATTTCCGCAAAAACGGTGGAGCTCTGTTGTGAGTTTCTCAGGCATCCAAACAATCCGCAGTGATGCTGCTTCCTGCAGTTTTTAGACAAAGTCTGCTTTGCTTCGTGCCGAGACAATCAGGGGGCTCAAAGTAGAAAGCCAGCTTTTTTGCTTAAAATAGGCGCTGTGCTGTAAACGAGAAATAGATGCAAAAGACTGCAGCAAGCTCAAACGTTTATTGAATGTCTTTTGAGAGCCAGCTTGGTGTAGTGGTTAAAAGCGGCGGACTCATCTGGAGAGCCAGGTTTGATTCCCCACGCCTCAACATGCGGCTGCTGGATGACCTGGGGCCAGTCACAGTTCTCTCAGAGCTAGTCTGGAAAGATCCGTTCTTTCAGAGCTCTCTCAAACACCAAGGTGCACAGAACGCTGTTACCTTCCCACTGAAGTGGTACTTATTTATCTACTTGCAATTTCTTGCTTTCGAACTGCTAGGTTGGCAGGAGCTGGAGCTAGAGACGGAAGCTCACTCCGTCATGCGGCACACTAATCTGGAGAGCCAGGTTTGATTCCCCACGCCTCCACATGCAGCTGCTGGATGACCTGGGGCCAGTCACAGTTCTCTCAGAGCCAGTCTGGAAAGATCCGTTCTTTCAAAGCTCTCTCAGGCCCACCTACCTTACAGGGTGTCTGTTGTGGGGGGAAGAAGGGAAGGAGATTGTAAGCCACTCCGAGACTCCAAGTGAAGGGCGGGATATAAAACCAATCTCCTCCTCCTCCTCTGCTTTTCAAGTCACATGGGTTAAACCCTTATTAATAATCCACCCATTTGGAACATCTACAAAGTGTATATTGGGGCTGGAATAATTTTTAAATTGTACACTTGCTGTACTGGGGGTGGCAGCGTGTAACATATGAAAATAAAATAGTCCTTAAAAACTGGTTCATCGCCGTGGCTTCTGTGCGGTCCCACATGGGACCGCGCAGTTGCAGGCCAATGTGTGCCTGCACAGAAGACCACTCGATGAACAGCAGTTACGGGTAAGCGCAATCCTGTTTTCCCTCAGTTTTAGTGCAGGATGTCAACTGATGCTTCGTTGTGTCAGTCAAGAACCACGAGTTGAATCGGCGGTTTACTATTTTGCTTTGAAATTTTGTGCGGCTGGGCCTTTAAGAAAGAGGGCTGAGCCCCAAAGAGCACCAACATAGCCACGGGCCTGGTCATTTATACCCCGCCTTTCTCCCCAGTGCGCACCCAAAGTGGCTTGTGTAGTTCTGTCCTCCATTTCGCCCTCACAACAACCCCGTGAGGTCGGTTAGGCTGGGAAGGTATGACTAGCCCAGGGCCACTCAGCAAGCTCCCAAGGCAGTGTGAGGATTCAAACCCGAGACTCTCCAATCCTAGTCTGACACTCTTAACCACAACACCAACCGCACCTCTATAATAAATAGTACAAACATAGGCAAATTGTAGTAGCATTGCCCAGAACAAACTGGGTTACATGACTAGGAATATTTGTATTTGTTTGCATTGAGTAGAAACAACAGTTACTTAAAATATTTCTGTCTGCATAGGTACTCAGTAGAGGTGTGCTGTGGACCTCTGGACCAAGTGAAGACGTGGGTCTCATAGCTGCTCACGTGTGAATTAAATGGGTCACAATCATGCAGCTTCATATGGCTCCCTGAGCGTAATATCAATTAACGCACGGGAGAAAGTGTGCTCTACTCCAGATTTCGAGATACTCATAAATGAGTTATTTTCATGTGTTGTAAAAAGGTGAAAGTTGTCTTTGTAGCCCAGGCTGTAGTCTGATGCTCACATCTTTGGGAGTAAACCTCACTGAATTGGGAAGGTCTAGGAAGCACGGACTCAAGTTGAATCTGGGGATCTGTACTGGCTGGCAGGCTCCGAGTATCAGGTGCCAGGGGTCAGGCAAGGCAGGGTCATTCAGTCCATGGTCAGGATTCCAAGAATCAGGCACGGCAGAGTCGGTGGCTTAGTGTCAATCATGCACATTGTGCCCACACCTAACAGCCTCTCATGGCTGGTATTATAGGCACACACCAAAGGGTCAGGCTTATTGCTAGCTGTTCAGAAGCAATCCTGCAACTACTCATCCGTGCTATCAGCAAGCAGCTGGCGTCGGGCCAGGAGACATGCACTTTGCCGTCTTCTATGTAGCTCTGTTCTCAGCCTTTGTCTGTGGCGCTCTAAGGGTGTGAGAGATACTGGTGGGCTGGGAACAGCCAACTGAGGTTCACCTGCTTAACCAAGGCTGGAGGGTGTTGGTGGCTCTCAACCAGCTGTTGGCTGTTAATCCTGACAAGCCTGCAGCTCTTTCTCCTGATGTTCAGCTTCCGTTGACTCAAGGTTGGCTACACAGGCCTCCTCTTCTCCCGAGGAGTCCTCTTCTTCCGAGGAATCCTCGCCATCGCTGGGCCCTGGCTGACTCGTGACACCATCTCAGTTTCACAGATTATTTGCTATGACATGCAGTTTGCAGACGGCTTGATTTATAGGGTGCGACTTTTACAGTGCAGTCCTTAACAGAATTACGTCTTTCTAATCCATTGACATCAGTCGGCGTAGCGGGGTGTGACTCTGTTTAGTATCATGCGGCAAGTCTCCACACCTCCTGCAGATATTTTACCTCAAGCAAGGGTGTTAAAGTTAACAAAGGAGATGCATCTGCTAATAACCAACACTGAGTATTCAATTAATTTATTTATTAGATTAGATCTCTTGACTCCCCTTCCCCGCTTGCATGGGGCACAGGGTGGTTTACACAGATTTAATTCCGTACATTATAAAAGCAGTCAAAACCATAAAACCTCCATATTAAAAACACCGAACGCATTTAAATATTTGAAGACATTTTAAAAAACGAGATGGCAGTGCTGGCATTCAGTCATGGGGTGTGTGTGTGCCAGGCAGATGTAAGGAACCGTCGCTGGCGGAACATCTCTGCCTTTCATGCCCTGCCAAACTTTAATAGGTCAGACAGGGCACAAATATCACTCAGCAGAGAGTTCCACCAGACTTGGGCCAGGACGGGAAAGGCTCTGGCCCTGGAAAAGGCCAGCTGGCTATCTTTGGGGCTGGGGACCTCACTTAGTGGGTTTTCTTAGGTAAAGGTTTCCCTTGCTCAGGAGTCAGTCGAATCTGACTATGGGGTGTGGTGCTCATATCTTTTTCCAAGCCAAAGAGCCAGCGCTGTCCAAAGATGTTTCCGTGGTCATGTGGCCAGCATGGCTAGACACCGAGGCGCACGGAGCGCTGTTACCTTCCTACCGAAGTGGTACCTATTTATCTACTTTTTCTTGCTTTCGAACGGCTAGGTTGGCAGGAGCTGGGGCCAGAGTCGGGGGCTCACTCCGTTCTGTGGCTCTAAGGTCTCGAACTGCTGAACTACTGACCTTCCAGTCTGCAGTTCAGTGTCTTAACCACTGAGCCACCGCAGCCCCAGGTCTTCTTATGCCTTAACTAATACAAATTTTTAGTACATGACAGATACATTTGAAAAAGGAGCTCTTATATAATTATAGACTCCCCAGAAAGGAAAATGCTTATTTGGCTATGTTGGGAAATTACCGTAGAAGCTGACACTGGCTTTGTACGGGGGCAGTTGTGTGGTGACATACTCTCGCATCGTGGCAAGTAGTTGTTAGACCACAATCCCATTAAAGACAAATCACAATTCGTGCAGCATCACAGGCCACATCTGCAGCTTGTTAGAAGCCCGAAGGCTCTGCCGGATTTGCATCTTATTTACATAATTGTTAATTTGTATTCACGTCCATAAATCTTGTAGGATAAACACGCTGTGTATGAATATTTTTCCTTCGGATTTACCGGCACTGGTTTGCACCTGTATCCCTTTCCCAAGTCTTCCCTGGCCCCTGGTGCCGTCATCCGCTGCTTCGTAGAGATTAAACCCCAGCTGTTATGGCATAAAAGTTTTATGGTTTTGTGTTCTTAACCCTGACGTGCACATACTTAAAAGCAAACCCTAGTGAACTCAGTGGGACTTCCATTCTGATTAAACATCCGTAGGATAGGGCTGTTTACTAAGAAGTGCTTCTCTGGATTGCTGGCCGTTTTAGCAGATGGCTGGCGAAATCCACAAGGGGATCCTAATTTTTGTCTGTGTGGTGGCAGTGTGGTGCATTATTGTTATTGCCGGTGACTTTGCCAGACAGCTTGCGAGGCAACAACTCAGGCAATTACACTGAGTTACGTTGATGTCTACAAAATGTCACGCGCCTTCCAAATAATTTAAAAGGAAACATCGCTCTGCTCCGTTAAGCTCTTAATCCGTAGATGTCGATGCACAGAGGCTAAAGGAAGGGCAGCTATAACGGACAATCGATAGACGAGTCAATTAAATTTCTTTTAAAAAAACAGCTAAGTACAGCTCGAGTCTCCCAGCGGTTCATTGCTAGGCCCGCAAAATCCGTTCTGCAAATGCAGCTTCTACTGGGAATACACTTATTACAGAAAGTGTTCCGGTTTGGTCTGAAGTTTTCTGTCGTTTCAAATTGCCGAATAGGAGCCGAACAGGAGCCGAATAGTTTTGTGATGTTGGCAGCCACGTTTTCTGTATCCGCTGCTGCTTCTAGTTTTCTTTCATCCCCCCAGAGCAGTTTTGCACTGCTTGCTCTAAATCTGCATGTAGTAACGGGAATTAAGAACCTTACAGTTATGCTACTGAAAGTGATGCTTGGCAGATGATGATATTTAGCTGTACGGCCAAAGCAAGAAAACACAGTGGATGGGACAGAATGCGAGACTCCGAGGTAGCTCCTGTTTTCGTTGAGGATGGTCTTGACTTGTTTGACTGCACAGGATATAATTCTAATGGAGGTACTTTGTTTACAGGGATGTTCGTAGTATGTCTTTTAATATTAGAGCTGAGGTTGCCTGGGGTGGAAAAGAAGGTCAGACAGAGACCGTTTCCACAGTAGTGAAGCTCCCCGCATTGACTTTTTAAAACCCCACGAGGCACAAAACCAAAGTTTTTGTTTGGTGTAGTGGTTAAGTGTGCGGACTCTAATCTTGGAGAACTGGGTTTGATTCCCTACTCCTCCACTTGCACCTGCTGGTGTGACCTTGGGTTAGTCACAAGCTCTGGCACAGCTGTCCTTGAAAAAAGAGCAGTTTGTGTCAGAGCTCTCTAGGCTCCACCCACCTCACAGGGTGTCTGTTGTGGGGAGGGGACGGGAAAGGAGTTTGTAAGCCGTTCTGAAACTCCAAGTGAAGGGCGGAGTATAAATCCAGTCTCTTCTCTTCTTCTTCTTACCCTGTGTTTTTGGAATTCCCAGTCTTAGCGAATTCCAAAAACATGGGGTAAGAAGGAGAAAACTTCGGGTTTGCGCCCGGTGAAATTTCAGTGGAAAATTTCACATAACGTGCAGTTTTAAAGACGTCAGTGTGGGGAATTTCACTACTGTGGGAATGGTCAGAGACCGTCTTGGAGACCAAGAAGCCCTATGAGGAAAGGCTGAGGGACTTGGGAAATTTCATTCTGGAGAAGAGGAGGTTGAGAGGGGACAGGATGGCTCTCTTGAAGTAAATGATGTGCCGTCACTTAGAGGAGGGCGTGGAGCTGTTCCTGTGGGCAGCAGAGGAGAGGACCCACAATCATGGGTTTAAATTAAGGGCGGGGAGGTACCGGCTGGAGATTAGGAAAAAACCTTTTACAGTATGAGTCGTTCAGCAGTGGAATTGGCTGCCTGGGAGGTGGTGAGCTCCCCCACACTGTCAGTCCAAGTGGTGGCTGAACAGACACTTGTCAGGGATGTTTTAGGCTGATCCGGCATTGAGCAGGGAGTTGGACTAGGTGGCCTCTGCAGGACCCCTTCCAACTCAATGACTCTGTGATCCATGTGATTCACATCCATGTTGGCCTGCAGTAGAATAGGTAAATCCGAATCCAGTAGCACCTTAGTTTTTAGTCTTGCCGGCCACATGACCACGGAAACGTCTTCGGACAGCGCTGGCTCCTCGGTTTTGAAACGGAGATGAGCACCGCAACCCTAGAGTCGGATTCGACTGGCTTTCGAGCAAGGGAACCTTTACCTTTACCTTTACCTAGCACCTTAGTTACCAACAGTCTTAGAGACTGAAAAGTCTTGTTGGTCTCTAAGGTCGAATCTGCATTTGCATTTTTAAATCAGTTTCCTGCTGCTGTGACGCCGTCTCTCTCTATGCTTGTTTGAGTGTCGTTCGGAGAAGATTCTTTTAAAGCAGTGCGGAGGTGCAGTGACAGTGGAGCCCTCGCCCGAAAGGACGATGAACATAGGTGGACATGCAAAAGTATGCTAGCACTCTTGAGGTGTGAAAACGACACCAAATGTAGACAGCTGTTTTGAAGACAGAGTCAAAAGGCTGGGTCACCGGTGGGAAAGACAAATGCAGATTCGGCCTATGTTGCCGCTGGACTTGAAGCTAGCTGCTCATGTCTACTAGGGCACGGAGTGGCCCGTTGCATTCAGTTTTGACGCTGGGTCCCCCAGTTCAAATCCTTTTTGAGGACTGATGAGCATTGGGTGGCTTCAGGCAGGTCAGGATGAAATGAGAATGGCAGCTGGATAGCCCAGACAAGGCCGATCCTGTCAGATCCTGGAAGCTAAGCAGGGTTGGTCCTGGTTAGTACTTGGATGGGAGACCACCAAGGAAGTCCAGCGTAGTTACGCAGAGGAAGGCAATGGCAAACCACCTCTGGCAAGTCCTTGGATGGGAGACCTCCTTGGAATATCAGAGGTGGGAGGCGGGGGCAGGCTTTATTCAGCCACCTCTCTGAAGATCCTCCAGGCCCCCAGTAGGGGTCAGTCACCAGAGGGCACCATGACTTCCAGGTGCACACACACTGAACTCATGCACATATGAAAAATAAAGACTTTTTAAAAAGTGAGATTTGCAAAGAAGAAGAAGGAGATTGGATTTATATCCCGCCCTTCACTACCCGGAGGAGTCTCAGAGCAGCTTAGAATCCTCTTCCAATCCCCTTCCCAGAACAGACAGCCCATGAGGTAGGTGGGGCTGAGAGAGCTTTTTCAAGAATGGCTCATGAGAGAACAGCTCTGAGAGAACTTGTGACTGACCCAAGGTCACACCAGCAGCTGCATGTGGAGGAATGGGGAATCGAACCCGGTTCTCCCAGATTAGAGTCTGCGCTCCTAATCACTGCGCCAAACTGGCTCTTGCGATACCAGTGTGATAGACAGTACACCGGAAAGAAAAGAGACAAGGCAGCGGTCCTTCTTGAAGGTCAAAATTGGGTCTTAAATCATGTACCCAAATTGCCACATTAGCGGGTAATATGAGGACACTGTCGTACAGCAAAGCAAATGTTTCTGTAAATAGCCTGAAGCCGTTACGGCTTAATAGGGTTTTGTACCAAGGTTTACGGCAAATTTAATCTTCCGTGGAAGCTACCGAGTGTAAGAAGAAACAGAACTACGGATTTCGGTGGTGCAGCACAATACTTTCTTCTAGATCAGTGATGGCGAACCTTTTAGAGACTGAGTGCCCAAACTGCAACCCAAAACCTGCTTATTTATCACAAAGTGCCAACACGGCAATTTAACCTGAATTTGTTGTTGTTCAGTCGCACAGTCGAGTCCGACTCTTCGCGACCCCATGGACCAGCTCCTGCCAGGCCTTCCGGTCTTCCGCCATCCTCTGAAGTTTGCTCAATTTCATGTTCGTTGCATCTATGACACTGGCGCATAATGCAAAAAAGGGCTAGAACTTAAAGCTGCCAGACAATCTTAGGATCTCCTGGCTACGCTACACACAGCGCCATATAAGCCTAACCTCCGGTTTAGTTTATCGTAATTAGCCATTGGCCATTACGAGATTACAAAATACAAATTATGAAGCCTAACCTACCTCACAGGGGTGTTGTGAGGAGAAAATGAAGGGGAGAAGAATGATGTAAGCCGCTTTGGGTCCCTATTGGAGAGAAGTTGTTGTTGTTCAGTCGCACAGTCGAGTCCGACTCTTCGCGACCCCATGGACCAGGTC